CTGTTTGTGTGAACACAGCATTATAAAACCTTTATTTTGATTTGTTTACCAACCTTTGACAGCATTTCAATTCCTTAGGGTTAAACCTGGTTTTAACCACTGCCAAGAAGGTTATGTTTTCTTATCATCAAATAACTTCAGTATTCAGGATAACTCTAGTATTTAACTTAGATATGTATTCATCATTCATTTACAGGTATCATTTTGAATTATCTATGTGACACAGGCTTAAGGAGAGGTGTTGCAAACAGTAAACAGTATATGTCCACACACTGAACATCTTCTCACTCTCCAAGTTCGGTTTGCTCAACATACTGGGAAATTCAGGAGCTTGTCGTTCAGTTTTATTTCACGTAGTTAATGAGAAGGGAAGACGTGCCCTACCCGGTTTGTTCAAGGACCAAAACAACTACAGAGGATACGCTCTATCTCAGGTCTGCTGGGAGTAATGAGGGAGACAGGGGGAGAGAGGGAGGAAGGGAGGGAGGGAGGACGGTAAGTGATGACACATTAACTTGGTCTAAAGGGAGGAATCTTATGGAAACAGAAAGGGAAGAAGGGAGCAAGAGATAAATGAGAGGCCAGCAGAAAGGAGGGTCCAGTTGTGAGAAGTCATCATTTTATATCTGCCCTACTTCCACCAGATCATCACTGTGCTGTATTTTGATGCTTTTTTCTTTCTTCATTAATGCATTTTGGATATTATGTCGTCTGTCACTCATATTTCTGTCTGCTTTCCTTGCAGGACGATCACTTTGTGCTCACACTACATGTATGGCCATGGTTGTCACTGTGGATTAAAAGCTGCAACTACACACATGTCTGTTTTTAAAAACAAGCGGCACTGTATTTAAAAATAAAGCAGCTTCGATCAAAAAGGAAAAATAATTGCAGTAAGTACAAACATGGGAGAAAGAAAACAGGGGAGGAAAGCAGAGGAGAAAAGGGAGGGAGAGGGGTAAGCAGGAGTGAGGCGGTGAGGGAGGGCAGATTAGAGAGCATTTTACACTCTGAGCTCTTCATCCATCAACACAATCTGCAAAGCTTTGAAGAGAGAAGAGATGTGCAAGCTTTTCATACAGAAGTGTGTGTGTGTGTGTGTGTGTGTGTGTGTGTGTGTGTGTGTGTGTGTGTGTGTGTGTGTGTGTGTGTGTGTGTGTGTGTGTGTGTGTGTGTGTGTGTGTGGACATGCCTGTGTGTCTGCAGAATCAGCTCTGTCAGTCAAGCAAAGCGCGCCTTTCAGATGAGCGCCCAAAACGAAGTGACATTGCTCAAAATCACACGGACTGCAATGCCTTTCTGCCTAACAAAAGCTGATATGGTGTGGCAAGACGGAGGTGACAGTTAAGTCTGCGCAACATTTTGGAGCAACTCTGATGAGCAACAAGTTGGCTCAGCATTGCTCCATTGCAATTCGTGCATTTTTAAAACTGTCCGGGTTTGCTCCCCCCTAAGGAGCAACACTGCAACAACACAGGTCTCCAAAACACCTATCTAGTAGAGTACGATCCCTACTGTGTTACTTTGTCAGACAATTCCATATCAGATCAAAATCTATGCAGCAAATATGTTATTATTCCAATATGTGTCTTCCTTGTCAAACCTGGTGCCTACAAGGACCACAATGCAACTGCATCACTTTGCAGCTTGGTCAGAGGTTTGTGTACGTTTTGCTTCTAACCCCTAATGTAGCCTTTACTTTTTAGCATAATAAACATTTGATCAAAAATGAAACACCATATTTGTGTCAAATGCATACTTCTTGTAAGTGGTAATAGCTGTAGAAAGTTGGGCAGTTATGAAAACATACAGCATGAGATGATAGATAATAATCAAATACCAGACATCTCTTTAATATTCCTGATTGAATAAAGCCTTTTTGTGCAACATTAAAATCATCTTTAAAAAGTATCTTGGGTTTTTAAGTATTATAATGAATTATATTGGTCAAACAAAGATATTCCTATCCAAGTATTGCATGCATAAAAGCATATTTATATTATATGTCTTATGATACTGTATATATCAATATAAAATGATGTTACATTGTTTGGCAAAAGAGTTCATCCATACCACCCACTCGACCTATATGATGTCAAACAAGCTAATAGAAGGCTGGAGACCTTTTAGGATCCTTATATGTTTGTATGATATCAATAAATGAATGCAAGACTTCATGGAAGAACAAGCCTTGTCAGGACCCCTGACTTTGTCCACCAGTGCTTCCATTTCCCAAACACTGAGCTCATTGCCTCGTTTGCAGGACTGTAGAGGCTCAAGTGATGTAGTTTTTCCACTTAACCTTGCCTGTGTGCTCTGAAAGTGTAGCAATGTGTGTATATAGCTTGTGTGTGTGCACTTTAACACAGTGACTAATCCGGACAGATTTCACAGCCTCTTTTGGTGCCATTCTGCTCACACACACACACACACACACACACACACACACACACACACACACACACACACACACACACACACACACACACACACACACACACACACTTGTATTTGCACTCCTCTGCTTGAGCACTTCTCTCTCTCTCTCTCTCTCTCTCTCTCTCTCTCAGTCAGGGTTGCCATGGAGGGAGGTTATCTTTGCTGCCATGACAACGTGAGTTCTCTTTGGTCTCCCCTAACGACAGTGGAATTGAACACACAGCGCTGGGTGATGTGATGTGATGTCTTCGGACCGGAGGCTCAGAGATGCACACACAGCGCAGGAGTCACCTGAACTACTCTGTGCCAGAGAAGAAGGAGTGGTAGAAGAAGAACTCAACTTCTTTTTCTACTAACTAAAAGTAGCAAAACTATTATGTAAAAATACTGCCAGTAAAAGTCCTTTGTTTAAAGTCCTACTTCAGTACCATTGCGTACTGCTGAGAGAGTGATTAGCAACAATCTGTCGTCCCTCGAGGACCTTGAGGCTGTTAGAAACGATTTTAGATCCCTAACACTCAGGACACACACTTTTTGAATCATTCTGTTAAACAGTATATCCCACATGATCATTACTATGAACATTTTCACATCCTCTATCTATACCGTTTTGCAAAACCTGCACTAAACCTACATATTGTACACATTAATTATAGTACTTTTATCTTTTTCAGATTTGTATTTTGTTTTTCTTTGCTTTATATTTATGTTCTTGACATTTCCACCGCTTTGACAGATCTTGTATTTTCTCCTAATATGGACATGTTTTGCACTAAAAACCATAAAAGGCAGATTTCCTGTAAGTGAAAATGTAATTCCAATAAACCTCATTCTGATATCAAAGTAGTACTTCCTCTACATGAGATTATCATACCATTACCAATTATTCCATGTTTGTCTACAGTTTTGCTTGCATCTCTACCCCCTGCATATTTTAATAGAGAACTGATTCGATTGCAGATGTTTTTCCAAACCAAATCAGTAGTTCAACCTTTTTGCACTGATTTTATTCTGGGAAATAGAGAGGGGGGAAATGTCAGTTGAAAAATGTCTAATTAGAGCCAAAACAAATGTCTAATTAGAGCCAAAAGTCATAAAAACTGCACACACGAAATGTTTGACTGAAGCCCATTATACTTTTGAGCAACGTGCTAATTACAGCATGTCATCATCAGGAAAGCACCCACCAAACTCTTTCTCTTCGGAAACTGAACTCAGGATTACATCCAATAATACCAGTGCTGAGTTAATGCAACTGATTTTAATATTGACATTGACCAAGAAACTGCCACCTCTTAAACCCCACGGACCTGCCGAAGGGGCCGAAACCACAACATCTGCGAGCAAAAGCGTCTGAGGGCTTCTTAAGATTTAATAAACTATGAATGTTTCATATCTATGTAAAGGAAGAAACTCAGCTAACTGATCTTTTTTTTTTTTTTTTAAACCTCAAAGCTAACGCTGAGCCTCTGAATTAGCCACGGGCAAAAAATATTAAGGCCGTTAGCACAGAACTCTAGCTATACCGATCGATATATTTATTGGATCTGCACAAACAAGCTTAGATAACATCCTGGGATTCCACAGATTATAGAAATATAAGGATCATCACTGAGCGATCTGAACTCGGGACAGGGGAAGCAAATACAGACAACACACGAGTAGCTTTACTGTAGGTAGCAAAACACGGAGATATACTGACCTTAGCTGTTATTCTGATCAAAAGTCGTGTTCAATGGCATTAAAACGAGAAAAAACTTGGCTGAAGGTTAATCATAGGTTACCAATGTGTCTGTCATTTTGAAAAAATTATTGATAATCCATAATTCCATTTCTATGCAAAAATCGGAGAATAAATATTAGCTGCTAATGGTAGCCACCAGAGTGTGTTGCAGCTCCGGTTTTGGCTACGCGTCACCCTCACTCCTTATTTGGTAACCTGTGTGTGTATGTGGAACCTTCCCTCGATTCCATTGGCTCTGACGGTTAGAAAGAGATGTCAATCATCAAAATCGACCAAGGGGGTCCAGAGATATGGAAAATCAACCCAAATGACCCCAGAAGTGGGGGTTTTTTGCTAAATCTCTCTAAAAAGGTAAAATGTCACTTGTTTTGCATCAATATTGATACAGGGTACTTATTATATGTTGTACTTTGGATTCCTAAAGCTTTTAGTCTACTAACCCACCATCCAAGACCAAGGGTAGTTTTCACTATAAGTAAAACAGAATTGGACGGACACTATAATTTACAGTTTTTTTACTATGTTCAATCTGAATTTTCTTTAAAATAAAAAACATCTATATTGATTCTGACTTTTCTACATCCAACTCACAGGTTTATCATTACTTTGAGAAAAAAGATTATAAATGTTCCCCTTTTAGAAATGTAGTTAAGGTCATTTGTTCTGGAAATGTCATTTTCGAGCCTGAGACCTAAAAAACAGGCTTGGGGCCTAGCCTGACTCCATCCCGGTAAAAAGTTCAAGATCAAGGCATGTCCATATCCCACATTTCAGATAATTTAACCCAAAACAAGTTTATAAACTCATTCCTTCTTACCTTGAGTCTCTCAGACACCCCGTCAGTGAAGCTGATGGTGAACTCCTCCACCTTGGGAACCTTCAGCCTCTTCTTCTCTGTCTGGTACTCCGTCCGAGTTTTCACCACCACCTGCAGGATGGAGAGAAAGCAGTTTAATACTCAGAGATGCTTAAGGTAATATATGGGAGATGCATGGTATTGTAGCAGGAAATGGTTGAGTCATATTTGTAAAAGTCAGACAAAGGTCTTACTGTAATGCACTGAGACAAAATGACAAGGTGCAAGGAGGCAGAACAAAATCAGATGTGTGTTTTCTAGAGTTTACTAGAGGCAAAGTCTGCATGTCTTCTGAGGGATTGGGCTATACATCTTGGAGATATACTTATTAGATGCATTAGTTTTTATATTACCAGTATCCCATTGTGTACTGTTTATATATGAAATAAAAATGGGTTTACTGCTTCCTCTATAAACTGGATGTGCATAAGGGATAGATATAATAGTGAAAAGCACATCAGGAGGGCAGACATCCCTCCACAGTGCATACTCTCATGAAGCTGAAATGACTTTAAAAAAGTAATTTGAAAAACAGAGGTTGAGATGAGTTCACAGCTCAATAAACAGAGGTGTAAGTTAGGATTGAAGGGGTGGGTGAAAGCGTAGGTTGCTAGATCTGGAAACACATTAAAGAATACACAAAAACAACACATCTAATATACAATATCGGTGTAGGATATTTGAATAGCAGTGAATGTTTTTATTTTGGCGTAGGATCAAACCCAACACAGCTAGAAAAGCACACAGTGAACACACAGGCATGCCAGGCATCTGTTGGAGCTCTGCTGGATGTTAATAAGTTCTGGTGCCCAGAATTTAAGACCCTGATAATCCAAAGGGAAAACATTGTGCTTTTTGTAGGCAGCTACATGTAAAAAAAAAAGGGCAGCACAACCCTGCCCCAATACTGTCAGTCTAAAACTCCTCAAGCAAACCTGTTCAGAGGGAAGAGAGGGGCACGGGGAAAAGAGACGGAGAGAGGTCTGAAACTTTCAGATTTGTCTATTTTTATTTTTGTGAAAGGTATTTGTACAAAATCAGTGGGTGCGGTAAAAATGGATGGGACTTTTCCAGCATTCTTGTTTTTTGCCTAAAACCTTAGTTCCTTTCCAAGTGACAAAGTGTTCTTTTGCCGATAGAATTAGGACTATGTGGATAGTTAGATCGGCAAAACGTTTTTATTTTACCACAGGAGATCACTGTGTGTTCCCCCATTTCAACAGGGAGTTTAGGTTATGATTCATTGTTGTATTGTCTTTATCAGCAATTAACTTGATTTGTAATTGTGATCATTAACAATGGGAATAATGTTAAAATCTATTTAGTTATGATAAACCTGGGTCTTATTTTTTAGCCATCAGTCCAAAACATAAGGTGGACACTATGCATGAATTCATATCATTTCACCTGAATAATCTATTTAAGTATTTGCTTGAGCGCTTTTTCCTCAAATGTTTTTTTCTAATTCTGAACAAATCAGTCAAATGTGTATAAACCTAAAACTATGCATCATTTGTAGTTTTGTGGTTTTAAGTCCTACATGAACCTAGAAAGTACTTAAAAAGCATTACACACCACAATGATTCACTCACTTCAACAAAAAAGTGAATGAATAATATTCCCTTCAACTTCGACTTATAGAAATCCAAATTTCTATTTCATAAAGGCTTTGACTGAACGAAATAATCGCTTTTAGCAGGTTGCGCCTCATCACTGTTACTTTTTAAGAAGGGAAAGTGCCCCTACTGTGTTGTGCATTCACTTTTTATTAATGTGCACACATGGACTTGGCAGATAGAGAGAAGGTGAACAAATGACGAGGCGGGGGAGAGGTGGAGGAAGGGATGGAGGACAATGTGTCGGTGTCCTTCTGGCTAATTGCACAGCTTCTGAGCGGCTCCTTCACTTTGAGGCAGCGCCAGAAACTGCTGTGCTCACATACTGGCTCCACTATCTGAATAACAAAGATGTCAGTTGGCCGTAGGAAGCCCTTATCGAAGAGTTGAAGGCCGCAGGAGGGGCACTGAAAACATCGCATTTGATTGGACCCCTGAGGCTCCGCAGCCGCGTGGCCTTCAGTGCATCAACAGCAGACTTCACTGTCCTAACTAATGTCTCCATTTTCCCTCAACTTTGTCTTTCTTTCCTACTCATCTCACAATAACATGTTCAGAGCCCCAAGGTTCAAACACAGCGGGGCTTCATGTTGCTTCATTAATCTCGCTCCTCCTGTACCTCTCGCTCCTTTATTTCACATTACCGAATGACGTGCCTATAAATCACGGTTTCCTCACTTACACAGACCTTTAGCAATCAGCTGGAAAATATACTGAACAAAGTGTCACCTTCTGGGCTATTAAATATTGTTAAACAAAGCTTGATGTAAAAAAAATACATAATATGAATGATGCAGTCACGAACAGTAATGATAGGATGAAGGGAAATCTAATTACAACTTGCTCACTTATTATTCCACGGAGGTAGCAGCTCATATTTCACTTGAGAATTTGACCATTTGCATTCCCGTAGTCATGTGTTGTTCATTTTTTAGCAATTGGTTTTATGGACGGAAATGTTGGTCAGTCGGATGAACTACCTTATTACGTTTTCGGTGGATTATCATGAAATGTTGTACAGACATTCCCACGAGATTCTCCAGGAACCATATTTAGTGATCCCCTTGCTATAATAATTATGTATTCATAGCACTTTCTTGTTAGGGCGAGCTTATTTAATATCTGCCATGAGAAAAGAGCAAAGGCTTTTTCTTTTATTGTGTTTGATCCCTCACTGTAAAGAACGGTACCTGCTGGAAGTCTAATTGTGAATGCAGAGGTTTATAACAACTAGCTGCTCTCCATAAACAAGTACCTCATTATTCTAAGAAGTGTACCCATTTCCTTCAACCTTGTTAGCCCAAAATAAATTGCTCTACCAAAGTGTCTGTGCGTGTCCCTGTTGGCAAAGTAATTTTCCCAAAGGGGCTTTGAAATACAACATAATGTAAGTAATGAATGTCAGGGTTGTTTACAACATTTTACCCTAACAGTTTGGTTCCCCTGTACTAAGAGTATCATTTATTTCTCTTTAGCGATCACCTGACTTTCATCTCAACTTTTATCCTTCTTACACTTTCTTTTTTTCTTTAGAGGAAGCCTAAAAGCCTCACCATATGCATCAAACCTCTAGACTCACTGTGCATTTTAATTATGTTGATAGCCCTGACAGGAAGGTAAATGAATCCAGCACAGTAGAGAAGCACAGCCTCTGCTTTGAGATTCTTTGAAAATCTATTTACAGATATTCAATTAGTCATGTATATTAAATGTCTTGATTCACTGTGACATTGTTATTATCTCCGTGACAGACATGAAGTCACTTTTAGATCTGAAGGCTGTAAGATTTCCAATTCATGTCTGTTTTGTTGAAATAACTTGTGCCACACAGGATGTTTCTCAAGCCAACAGAACGTAATGTTTATTTAAAAAAGCACTTCAGGGCTTTTAAAGTTTTCCTTTTTTCATATCTGAGTGAATAATCGGAAGAGTAAATAAGACATGAATACAGAGGGAGAAGAAGATTTCAGAAAAGGCAGTTTTAACTTTAAAAACTTAGCCAGCTCTCTCTTTCTCTTTCCAATCATAAGTTTTTTTAGATTTATATTCCCTCTGGTAGAGCTGTCGAAACCTATCTTTTCTCCCTGTCTTCCCAAGTATGTTATTCTTCAGATTTGTTATCGCTATGATTGCCGCTTTATTTTATATTCCCCAAGGACTAAGCTGCGGAAGAGATGGCAAAGTGTTGATGTTAAAGGCTGCAGACATTGTCTTTAAGGTGTTTGGTTTATCTTTGTGAATAAAACAGTGAATGACATTCATACAGAAAGCAGGAGGGAGTTACCCTTCTTGGGGTAAACCATTAGCTCTGACAGGATGTAAGTGATAATATAATCACAGGTGAGACATGTTTAATCAACTCTTCTTTTAGAGTTAAAATAAGACACCCCTACAGTCAGAAAAGTGATTCTGAAATAAGATATGCATACTTTGGAATCCTGTTCTTACATTGTTAAAGGGGACCTATCATGCAAAATGCACTTTTGTACGCCTTTTATACATGAATATGTGTCCCCGGTGTGTCAGGGAACTCACAAAGTGTCCGAAAACACAACCCTCTCTCTTTTCCTCCATACCCAAATCTCTAAACACGGGGTTGCAACGGATCTGATACAGATTGATACAGATTTGAAAATAGTCTGACGTCAGTGACGAGGAGCTCCGCCTATATGGGCAACTCTCCACCAATCAGGGGAATGAGAGGTTGCCGTGGCATGGTAACAGCATGGTAACATGACGCTCGTAACTCGGCCCCCTCCTTTGCAGGGGGGCGTGGTCAGCTGCAGCGCATGCAAAGACAGGGTGGAGGAGAGGAAAATAGAGCAAAATGAGGCATGGCTCAAATGCATGATCTGTTTGGTATTTTGAAAAAACAAAGGTATAAATATACCTTATATACTGTAGGTTTGGCCCTACAATATATTATTAAAATATAGCATGATAGGTCTCCTTTAAGTTTTTCCAAACACCTATACTTACAAAAACAATTTCAGAGGATGTCATTTCCTATTTTTCCGATAACATCGAGTTAATCATACCTGATACACTCTGTCAACATGCTATGTCCTTTTTTAAGGCTGAAATAAGTGTTTCTTACCACTCAGGGACATCACAAACAAGCGTTTCAGACAAATTTGACATCCTTAAAAATGATAGCAAGCGCATTAGGCGCTAATTTACACATCCAGAGGATACAGAACGGAGCAATTGGCAGATGCCAAAAGGCTCAGTAGAGCTAAGGAGAACTGCTGAGATAATTGCAGATATCATTTTCTGTGGGTTTGTAACTACAAGCCTCACTTTCCACAGGAATTTGGGCTGATTGAAGCTTTCATCTTCGGTCTAGGATATTTTGTTGCAAAGTTTTAACTTTTTCCAGACATTTCCTAGACCAATTAATTGGCAGCTGATGATTTCATTTGGGTTTAATCAGAGCTATAGGGTATATTATATAGTGTAATGTAGGTAATGGTTACAATCCAAACTTGTATGCATCTAAAAGCTGAAGCTAACTGGCTCTTGTTGAGTCATTATACATGTTATTACCTTCACCGCTACTCTCACAGCCTGTGCACAGCCAGCAAGATACATTTCAAAATAGGCTTTATATAATTTGTGATAATTGTTCAAATAAACTTGGATGCTAGTAACAAGGCTTCACGTCATAACAGCACATAAAAAAGCAATTTATTACTGACCTATTGCTGGGTATTCCTGCTCTAAGGTATTCCTCTCTAATTCATGAAGCTTATAAACACAGTCGCACACAATAAATGAGATTTAAAAGCTCAAAATAAGTAAGGAGAGGAGGATGTTATGTAAAGGGGACATTTTGGACAAGAAAAGAGAATGGTTATGAAATCTGTCATATGCTTTGAAGCAGATACCTGAGCGTTGTTCTCAGAGGAACAACATACTGAAAGGAAAGATGTTTTTCAGTGTGTGAGTCTCTTCCCCTGCCTCTGGTTGTTTTTCCTTTTCTTTTCAAACAAGCAATCCAATCAAGATATTGGTGACCCAGCGATGGCTGTGAGAGGTACCTGCCCCGATTGAATCAAATCGAATGCCTCCCTAATGCCTCAGTCTCTGCAGGGCCACAGCAGCATTGTTATGTCTGGATGTGTGTGTCCATACGTGTATGAACTTTGCTGTAACTGCGCCCCCCCTCCCCCGCCCCTGCAAATATCCGCTTGTACCCTAGTCTGACAGGTCACGCAGTCATCAGGCAGGATCAGGGTGAAAACAGCTGGGGTCGTATTTATAAAGCTGCTGATCTGGGGTTCTTGTTCGGTCACATGACTCAATAAATCTCGCTTTAGCTTTTACGTACAGCGGGAACAAAACTGGCCACAGATCAGATTCTGAAAGGCTGATAAAAGCTGATTAACAATGAACTCCTTCTGGGCTGGGTGGTTGGCAAAAACAACAACCTTAAATTCAGCGAGATTAAAGAGATTTCAAAGACATTACTGGTGCACCATATTTTTAGGTTTAGAGATAGTAATGCACACAAAGCCTACAGCGCGGCCATTGTCCTTAAAGCGGCTATAATCAATATTTTATTAAAATAAACACTGTGTGAAAGGAGTTGCTCGTAATGTTGAACATACAGATAATTATCAAACAAACAAAAGTCTTCCCTCAGCTTTATGGAGCTTTAGAGTGAGTTAAAGCTCATTGTTTCGCCGTCTGAACCAGACCTAGACTATTTTGGTGCACTTTCACAACATAGCATCTATTTCAGTTGAAAAAGGCAAGTGTTTCTTTCCTGGGAACGAGCAAATCTGAGGTTTTATTTTTGCTCTGGCTGATGTGTCTTGTCCCCCTACGCTTTGGACAGATAACCAGCAGTGTTTGAAAAGGGAGACCATGAAAAGGAGCACAGTTTAGGCATTTTCAAAAACATCCAAAAATGCGCTGTTGGATACATTCAAAATCAGTTTAGTTTAAGGATTTAACCCTGCAAAGTAATACTGAAAACAGGCATCAGAAACATTGCTATGTTGTATTTTAAAAGCAGAGAAGACTGTGCTCATACACATACACAGTGACAAAATACAGAGAGCCGAATACTAATTAAATGAACTGTGATAGCCATCATCAACACCTCCCACGCTCTGAGGTCTAATTACAGTTTCCATTATATATTCGTTTGGCCTCTGTAGCGTTCATGCATCCCTTGTCAAGAAGACAAATTATTACACTTACACCTGGAGAGAAATTCTGAGAATTAACAGCAAATTGAGCCTTACTTCTGCAACAGCATATCGTGTAAACATGGATGGACCCATCTGCCCTTTCATAATGTTTTATAAAAAGGAACGAGCATTTATTTTTGCTTGATATCTGTAATAGTTGGCAACTTCAACTAGGAGCAGCTGAACTGACAATTTATTGGTCCATTTTCTGTCAGCGACGTGTATCGAGGAGCAACAAGCAACAGTAATTTATGTCTGCGTCTCTGAGGGATGTAACAGTTCACTGATAGTCAACAAAAACAACAAGCTTTCTTCCCTGACCTCTTTTCCTTTCATATGTCACCGGCAATAACTCGCTGGTATATCCCAGGACCGGATCCTCCACCCAGCTTATTAACTCTATGTCTCTACCTGTTCAGGAAATCACTCAAATACATTCAGTCACACGTACAGTAACATGAAAATGTGTGTGTGCGCATGTTTGCAAGTCTAGTGAGGCTGATTTAATCAGTGCAAAGTGTCTGACAGCTCTGTGGATGTCATGTCGCAGACTGCTGGCTGCTGACAGAAACAACTTGTCACTCACACAGTCACATGTCACATGAATGTAGTGTACACAAAGAAGAAGGTGTGTGTGTGTGTGTGTGTGTGTGTGTGTGTGTGTGTGTGTGTGTGTGTGTGTGTGTGTGTGTGTGTGTGTGTGTGTGTGTGTGTGTGTGTGTGTGTGTGTGTGTGTGTGTGTGTGTGTGTGTTGTGTGTGTGTGTAAGGGAATGCAGTGAATGACAAGTCAATTAACATGTCTATGAAATGGAAAGAGATTTTCCCTGCCTCAGAAGAATACACAATTAAGGTTCAGGCTGTACCATTTTTTGGGGGATTATGATCATTTCTGTATATAAATGTAAAAAGAAAAGAAAGCTCCTCAAATGGAGGGTTGGGTTTCACCCCAAGTGCAGCACCCTGAGCTTATACACTACGGAGGGTGGTAAGGGACTAATGAACATCAGGGACACTACCCAGGATGAAACATCACAGATCCAGGGTTACATCAGGAAGATGGCCACATGTAATGATATGAATGGAAAGAGGCAGGGGGGAGGAGGAGCCATCATGGAAAGACAAGCCCCTCCAATGCATGTACCACAAAGTACAAAAAGAAGAAGTGGCTCATATCGAGAAATCAAAGGGCTAACCAAGTGGAAGTAAATCAAGTAGCTAATTACTGTTTAAAACGGAATTGATTGGCCTATCATACCCCAGTCCGAAGCTCTGTATTGATTTGAATAATGATGTATGTCAATAATCCTTCTGATACCTAATAAGGTGCGTCGACTGTTGCAATGATAATATAATAAATTGTGTAATTTCACCTTGAAGCTCTACAATAAGTCATTGATTGGCGGGTTAGAGAGATGGATTCATACAGCTGTGAAATAAAATCATCACCCCATAACGGATCCAGACACTGTCACACAATGGATGCATAATAAACCTCTCATAAGAGCTCTGCTGATGTCTAATACCATTCATTTTCATAATGTGCATAATCAGTGCAGCTCTCTGTCTTGACCCGGAGAAACACCAATCAGGCTCTCCACGTTGCACTGCCACCATGGTAACTGGATTACGAAGGTGCGGTGCAGTTACTCTGGGATGTCAAGATGATAAATGACAGTCTGTCTGGCACTGAATCTGTCTCCTAATCTCAGCTGGAACACAAAGGACACTGCTGGGACGGCTGAGATGAATGAATTTGGGAATGAATAAAAGAGTGTGTGAGATGTGTGTGTGTGTGTGTGTGTGTGTGTGTTAGCAGGTGGGGGTATTAAGCTAAGAGGATTTAAGGACAGTGTAGGTCACCAGCATCTATTTCCTACACACACACACACACACACACACACACACACACACACACACACACACACACACACACACACACACACACACACACACACACACACACACACACACACACACAGTTGGGCTGGTGTCTCTCACCTTGTCAGGTGCTTGGCTCTGGAGGCTGCCCACGTCCAGAGGAGTGATGAGGGGCACATTTTGGAAGCCGTCCTCCACGCTCACAGGTTTGGCCCCTTTGTCTTGAAGATTACTCCCCAGTTTCACCATCTTTCACTGCCCTTAGTATATTCCCTTTATTTCCCTGAAGACAGCTCCTGAATAAGAGGTGGTGAGAAAGGATGGTTTTACCTTACATCCTCTCAGGTCAATGGCAGAAACAGGCTATATGATGGAGAAGACTCTAATACCTTAAATTACACAGTACGAATAAGTTAATGTTGTCAAGTGAGTTGAGAGGAATCGAAATACGATCAATGATGAGAGCAGCAAAACACCACAATAAAGAGCATGTTTTGTTTGCAATGAAAACGGACTATTTTTACCATGACCCATAAGGGAAAGAAACCACCACCTTTAGCACATTTTCCTTACCCCAACACGAAAACACAACAAAACTGTACACCACAAAAAAGCATTACTCACAGCTGATCGTCCTTGTCCGTGCGTCTCCTAGGTGCTGCGGCAGTGTCTGGACAGAGGCGGAGGGAGGAAGAGGAGCAGGTGAATCTGGAGGATGCGCTGCGGTGTCTCTGCTGCTGCGGGAAAACAACGCTGCGCCGCCGGATGAGAGACTGGATGTCTGGCGGCAGGTTTCCGAGCAGCAGGCAGCCCAACCCCCTAATCCAAACTCAGCCTCCTCTTCACCAAGCTGCTGCACCCAGTGCCGGAGCTGCCACTAGGGGGATCTTTCACCCTGTCAGGGGTCTCGTTTGTTTGATAAAGTGGAAGTCAAATGAATGCTGCATCTCAGGGTTTATCGCCAGAGCTGAGAAAGTGGATTTATATTTGCATAACACTTAAATATTTCGATAAAGGGGATTTTTCTTGACAACATATAAGATCTGTTGGAAATGTTATTTTGTTGTATATTGTTTAGACATTGATTAGACCGGTTTGATTTTGCACGTAGCCCAGCTCGTAATTTGATCTAAAAGAGCAGCTAACTCCCCCATTCATAAATTATGTTTTGTTTTCACACAATAAGGTTAGTCATTCTAAATGTGCCTCTCAACATCACTGAATTATGTCTCATTAATTATATGAAAAACCAACATCCTCACCTGTCAATTTTAAGGGAGAAATAACAAAATAAAAAAGTTATTTTCCACAGTACCTAAAGGCAGCAGAATTTTTTTTCCACTGAACCATTTTGGTCCTATGGCGCCATCTGCTGGTTACATGAGTGACACACAGACGCGAGGAGCTGTTAAAAAAAACGACATTAATAATCTGAATAACAATGAGTGAAATGCTTTAAAAGGTATATGCTGGGATGTGTTTGTAATTGTATGGTCAACAGATCTTCTTAAATCTTAAATAATGGTAGAAAATTCAACAAGGCATTTAAATGTAGAAATTGTGTTTTCTTTTATATAATAATTAACCAAGCAAGAATAATTTCATTTGTTTCATAAAAATATATTTTAATAGTCACAGTATGTATGTGATACATACGTAATAAAAACATGTAGTCATACTATAGGCTTCGATGTCATAATGTTCTTAATAATAGTGTATAAAAAGTCATAAAAAGTCATACTATAGTACAAAAAAAATGTCCTAATATGTGTAACATAAGAAAGTTTAAAGAAATATGAGTCAAAATATATTAAACCATAACATGTTTAATAATGTAGTACAGTGATACAAATGGCATAAAGAAACGTCATAGTTCAGTATGTCATTACATCATAACCAGGGTTATAGCTTGTTTGCCATTTTTGAAAAAACCTTTTTAGTTGGCAGTCTACGAAGCCTTTTGTAAAGTTTCACTCAGTGGACCATTAATACATTTTTTATTATTTGTAAGTGATAAATGATACATTTTGATATATTTGTATGGAATTTGAGACGCTATTCTAACGTTGAGGATCTTTTGATTTCATCCTGACTTGGGAAGGAATTTTGTTCGGCTCCGAGTGCTTTGAATTAATAACATGTAAAACAAACATTTAAGAAATGTTTTACCGATATTAAATCAGAGAGAATAGAATGCCATGAAACATAACATTCAAAATCCATAGTTTTCTATGTACTTTAATTGACATTAAGAAGTCATAGCATAGTATGCCATTAAAATATAATTAAGAAACTCATAGTATAGTATATAATACCTCAGAAAAAAAGTGTTTATTCTTTTTAAAAGGCATTAAAAATCAATTAAAACCCTTGTGGGCGCAAAGCAATATCACAAGCTGAACATCTCATTTTTGTTTGAAGTTATGGAGACAGTAGTTGTCACACTACTAATTTAACGACAACTACTGTCTTCATATTGCTGCAGTTATGACGAAGAGCACTCCAGGGTGGGGTCAGTACACAGAAACCTGACTGCTGGGTGTGGTCGGAGGAACGAGGCAGTGGAGCTCCACCTTTCAGTCGGTTTAAGAGTCACCAAGTGCTCATGCAAACAATAATAATATGACAGAACAAACCGTCCCTAAACAGAGAGATCGCACCTTATTAGATAGCAATTAGTGAGACTGTCCAATAACAGATTTAAATGTCCACACTTAACATAAAAAAGAACACCAAGCAAATCTTTTCATCACAGTTAAGATTTATTTCATTCAACATTTCACATTACAAATATTTAAAAATTATGCATACTGTTATAAATAGTTGGCTGCAAACAATTAAATAACATTAGATTTTTCTTTTTCGTTTCACTAGCACTTCTACAGACCAACTCCTAGAAATATGGACATATCCGTATTACATAACTTAATTAGAAAGGAAAATACAAAAATAGGAACTTATAAAGTGAAATGACAATAAAAATTAAGGTGATATCTTAAGTAAAAAATGCTATTAATAAATACAACAACCTTCCCATACACAGTTAAAAACTATTGAAATCTTGCCATTAAGTAACATCATTAACAGACAAATATTTAAATATTTATTTTCCTTCAGAAAATGTGAACCATATATTGTGGAGCACAATATAGCAATTAGTAAAAACTAGACACTTTAACATATTAAAAGCTTCACCTCAAAAATATAACAAAAATCTGATCAAAATTATAAAAATCAATTATACATTCCAATTAAAAATATACCAATAAACAGCTAAATACATTGTTGACCTAATAATTACAATGCAATCAATCACAGTAGCTTAAAATAAACAAAATAAGCAAATGAGCACAAAACCTTTAATGTTTTAAAAATAACTTCAATTATTTATATTAGTACAAATAGTTTGATTTCTTTTCTTTTTTACAAACACCAGCATGAAAAGGATTACAATAACAGTAGAAAATGACTGTGAAAAACATATTAACATCTTCTTTAATTAAATGTCTGCAATTAAAAATGGCATTAAAGAATTACATTGCAAAGAGTCTTTATCTGGAAAAAGGTTCAAAAGAAGTATTGCACATAACAACTTGAAGTTAACTTGCAACATTTACCACATTCAAGTCTTTAAGCTCCCCTTCCTCCAGATAGGTCTATATAATCACCTCGACAGACAGCGGGGATGAGTTCTCAAGTCTTTTTAAAACAGTGTTGTAAAAGGATGCTAAAGTCCTGCACTGCCAAATCGATTTATAGTTAAAGTTTCTGTCTTGTTTCTCGTCTTTTCTCTCTGTCGTGTGCATCCTGCAGAGGTCTGCGAATGGGGAAGCGAGGAGATCAACACGTGGCGTGGAGGGGAGAGGGGGTGAGGTGAGTGGGTTTGGGGTGTCCTTAACAACTGAATAGTTGAGAAACATTTGGTGCACACCACAACAGTTAATTTTTAATAGCTAATTCATGTACTTGTCATTTTCTCTTTTTTTTGTCATGCATGCTAAGGATTACAATAGGTGCTAGTTGGCAAGTTCAAGAATATATATATACTTTTTTTGAAATATTAAAATATCTAAACACCAAACATCCATTCTTGTGATACGAGACTCAGCGTTACGCCTGAACCAAATTTTGCATTCTCCTTATATTAAGTTATAGTCCATCTATGGAGAGGAAACCAAGACAGAAGTTACCATTGTCCAACTAGTATAGCCATGTTTAGAGACATTAACATCAATTTCAAATTACAACTTGTTTTTTTTGTTTTTTTTTTGTTATTCTCGCCATGCTGTTATTGACCAGATTGACTGGAAACATCTAATGTACGAAAAGCTAAGACCAAGAGAGCAATACTCTTTGGTCTCTCCTCTGCAGATGTGAAGTCGCACCAACACAAGTGCGCACTTAGTTGTAAAGTTTCCTCAGCACTGAAATGTATAAAAAGCATAATTGAAAATAATATATATTGAAATCACTCAACTTTTTTTCTTAAAATGAACATTTCCATATATGCAGATCTCTCAGTAACAAAAGTACAAAAGCTACCTTTCACAATGTGAAAAATTGAGGTATTGCAAAAAGGAGTTTCCCCATTTGTGAAAAATGTGCCTAAAATGACTGTTGGAAAAAGAAAAAATATTTAGAAAAGTAGTGCATAATAAATGTTTATATGTGCATGACAAAATAATTTAGCTAGAAAACACTGTACCAAAAATCAGCAGGCCATGTATAAAATAATCTTTTTTTTTCATCTCATTTAACAGCAAATTCTTCACAAAGTGTTTTAACTTCTAAAATGCTCACCCACCACACCCACAAAACAAATGACTAGGGTGCAAAACTGGTGCGACGACACCACGCCCATATGAGGAAAGGTTTCTCACTAGTGTGTATAATCGAGTTTCTGTACTAACTCCCTGACATATTTAAATGCTCGGCTAGCAGGTTACTGAGTGACTTAAAACGTCAAACAAAAGGTGCGGATTAGTTTGACTTTTGCTGTGTGAATGTGCACTTAATGTTAAACGTTCCGCGGACCTATTTGAGATAAAAAGAACTACCAGCGTGCACCTCCATTTTGAGCTATGGAGAACTTGTGTGTGTGTGTGTGTGTGTGTCTGCAAGCCCTATTGTTTTTCCACTGGTGTTCTAATGGGTTTTGACTGCACTGTCAAATATATATATATAAATATATCATGTTCAAGGCCAATCTTTGGTTTGCTGGGCTTGACAGTTAAGCAAAACTGGGTAGAAGTGACAGAATAATAAAAAGAATATGAAAAAAAACTTCCTTGAAGTAATGAGAAGGAACATAAGAATAAAAAAAACCTAAATAAGAAATGAGCTACAGTATGACCCACTACTGCACAGCCATCTTTGGTTCCCAAAAAGCCACTGGGTACAACCGACTGTTATCAAGAGCAAACTGCATGTGGGTCATAAGTGTGTAGTAGTAGAGCACACTGCAGAGACTATCTTCATTTATGCTTCAAAAACACTGGATGCTGAGTTGGATTAGCTTGGCAGGAGAAAAGACAGAGGGTTCGCCAAAAGGGCAGATCCCTCCATGACTCAAATGTGTGCTGACGATTGGGAAATCCGATAAACTTTAATTGCTTCTTGCATTAAATGTAGCTGACTCTCGGATGCGAAGTAGAACTTTTTCATTAAAGACTTGGGAGAATTGCACAAATGCATCGAAAAAAGACTAACAAAAGGACAGGCATTTTCCATTTGGTGGTAGCCCCGTAGAAACTGCAATAAAAAAGGTGGACTACTAGACCACCCTTCTCTCGAGGAGACACCTAAACCTCAGTCCTGAAAGATCTGGATCCAAACCCCCGCGGTGTTCGGACACTGAAAACAGGTTTTGATCCACGAACGAGGCCCTACACTCTGTTAGCTGCTAGCT